TACTCATACCCACCTCTCTCTCTCTCTCTCTCTCTCTCTCTCTCTCCGCAATTCGAATCCAATCCTCGACAATCGTCCTTTTCCTTCGCGGGTGAAGGATCTTGGAGGAATACGTGCATACGTTTACAATTGCAGCGATGGAATTTTATGGTTGGATGTATATAATTCGATGATGATAATAATAATCGGAAAAGTGCGATTATCCTGCGAAAAATCGCTTGTTCCTATCGTTTAATCAATCCGCCAAGAATCTGTAAATTTCTTGTTCGTTATAATTGTATAATTTGTAGGATGGTAAGCTATCTTGGTGGTCATAATTTATTCCATTAACTCTCTTCTTCCTCCTCTCTCGCGCTAGTATTTTTAATCGTCGATAGATAAATAAAGAGGAAGAGAAAGGAGGATGAATTTGTTTCATTTCCAGGCAATTTCAAGGCGAGATCAAATCTCGAAGTTTGTTAGAGTTATTTCGTTCAATAACTAATAGGGAGGTAGGCGTACGGGTAACGTACGTGTCTACGCTTCAATTTACCGTTATCTCCTCCTCCCTGAAAAATTAATCAATCAGGCGCGGTTGATCCTCGGGCGTAGATATCCGCCACCCTTAACCACAGCCACTGATCGGCCTATCATTTTCGAACGGGGTGGGAAGGAAGCAAAATCGTGTAATTGGAATCGAACGGACAATGAAACTAACGATAGAAGGATTTTTCTATCGATGCAAGAAGGATTTCTCGATTTAATTCTCGTTCCCGGTTTTGCTTGGAACGGAAAATATCGTGTCGCCTTCGTTTCCGGATTATTTATCGATGGTTTCGTTCTCGAAGAACGAAAGATCTGTCCACGATGAATATTAACTTTAACTAGGATCGATGAATAAATTTAAAACTTGGCCCTCCATCGATATAATTTTTAATATTATCGCGTATATTTATTTATACGAAGTTGAATATAAGTGTCGAATAATAAGATTTCAGCGCGAACATGTAGAAAGCGATGTAGAACAACGGGTTAGCAGCAGCGGGTTTACCCGCTGTAGATTTTAAATTACGTAGAACTGTACCGTCAATAACTAGCTGTTAACCTCGGAATGACGTGGAATTACGCTAATGGCTAAAGCAGCTACAAATTTTCAAAACGATGCAGTAATCGGAAGATTTCTAAATAACGTGGAAGCAAAAACTTGTTGTTACGTGTTTGAAACTGGCAACGTTTGAAACGATTGAAAATATTTCTTTTCTCTCTTAAAATTGTTACAACAAATTATTAACGTTCAATTTCTCGAAACGAATTTTTATCAAAATTTCAATACAAATTTCGCCAATTCCTCTAATCTTTTCTCAACCAAACAAACCATGCAATTCCAGTAGAATCGAATGGTAAACCAGCATCATTTGATCTGAAACCGAAGAGGGGAAGGAGATACGAAATTCCCATCCCTTGGAAAAAACCAAAAAGATTCCGCCATTCCAATCGTGCGTATAATCCCAATAGTTGGCGCAGCCACTTTGGAAACGGAACGTTCTTCCTTCTGGTATTCGATCTGTTTCATCGGGCGCGGCGTTGTAACCGTGGCGCAGATTCCAATATCCGTCGGCCAATCTCGGAGCAACCGGTCGACGAGCATCGAATCGAATTAGTATTCGGATATCCAGACAATCTCTCGGCCCTAGACTATGCATAGAAAGCACGGTTGGCCGGCCACCACGTTTTGTATTTGTACGGGTTCAATATCGGCCGGTCACGCGAAATCAAACCATTGGTAACTACGAATGCACACACCGGTGGCCACGCCACCTGCCCGGGTAATAACGACGATAACGCACGCCTGAAACGTTATTAATTTTAATGCAACCGGCCTTCCAACTCGTCGTCTTCCTCCTTCCTTTCCCTCTTTCTCGCGCGTATCCTTTCTCTCTTTTCAAAGGTTGACACGAGGCACGTAGTCTCGCCTCGTAGATAGCCTCTCTTCTTTAATTAATAATTTCGAAATTTTGCTTCTGGTCTTTTTCCAGGTAGGGGAAGAGAAATTTCTATTTCTTTCGTGAAAGGATAATTTGCGGAGCCAAGGTTACGAAGGATGATCATTACGCGCGAAATAATTTCGAGGCTCGACACCACCATTTTATATTATAGCCAGATATTATCTTACTTAGCTTGCGCTTTGCTTCTCGTGACGCTCTATCGGCATGCAAAATTCTTTCGCGGGACGACAAGAATCGAGAATTGGAGAATGGCAACGAGAACGGCGATACCATCGTACGTTTGGTAATGCGTTACGTGACTTTTCGAACGAAAACCTCCTCCTCCTCCTCCCTCCTTCAAGAATATACCGTGATAATGGCAAGTCGTTTTCTGATTATATCAGAAGCCACGTGCCAGGTTGCTCGGATCGAGCTTAGATCTCTTCCCCCGATTGCCTCCAACCATTAGATATACACGAGTCGAATTACTACTCCGCCGCGACCTTCTCGGAGCGAAATTGTTTTATTTCGAGTTAATCGAGGGACGAAATCAAGGACTCGGCTCGAGTCGTGATTTATTTAAGCTCGACTCGTCGTCCATCGATTTCGAACGATGATCGATCGAATTGCCGCGACCGCACCGTTTCGATTCTTCCGCGTTCTTTCGCGATAATTTTTCGAAGAAGAGGTTATATACGATCGCGGTGAAAATAATCGGTGAAATCGGTTTCTCGTTGTCCTCCGTGGTTAATTCGTTTCTTCGAACATCGTCATTTCACTCAGCGATGGCCTCGAGCTCGACTTGGCTTCTCGGTACTTGGGCAATCGAAAGATTCAAATTTTTTATACACGATGTAACTTTATGCACGATTTAGAGAAGGGATTTGTTAAAAGTATACTTTATATACGATCGAACAATAAAAATCTACGATATACACACTCTTTCCACGCGATATTATAAATCTATCCGCGACTCGATCCCTTCGCTATTCTCGCGTAATTCCTTTCCCCAACGTCTCGAGCTTAACAGGCTATGAACACCTCCATCGACGAATATTCTTCGATCGCAGCTAGGTAATTTGCTATTTTTCCTCTCTTATTATTATTATTATTATTTTTCTTCTTCTTCTTCTTCTTTTTTTTCTTCTTCAAAACAAGCTAGAAAACCCACACACGAGAATATTAGCCAAGACAAACATAGCGGATAATGGGTGTGTAAAGTCCTCGACGAAGTCGATCGAGGGGGAGGAGAGAGGGTATCCGTGCGTCGATTACCAGCGTCTCTGGCAAGTTGGTTGAATATAAAAGAGCGAGGCGGAGAGAGTGGTGGAATCGGATGAGAGAGACGCTTTGAATCCGTGATGGAGGTTACCGATGAGGGGGCCTCGAACGCCATTAAAACGCGCGAACAATCAACTCGTTTCGCCGCCTTTGAGGGAACAAGAGCTGTTGATATCGGCTCGCTTTGAGCCGAGAAGTTCGTCGTATGAATTTTAATCCGCCCGTCCCGACGACACTGTCGCCCGACGACAAATCGCGGAAAACTAATTTCGTTCCCTCGAACTCGATGTGTATCTATACACATATATATATGTTCAATTTCACCAAAGTTTTCCACGGCCGAAAGATTTCGAGAGATGGAAAGTTTCGAGAAAGATCGATTTCAAGCAGCAATTTTTCTCTCCTTCCATATTTGTTGAAATGAACGTACAAATTGATTTTTTATCGATTTCAGACACTTGCCGATGTGGAAGTGGCGCCAAAATCTCTCTCGAAGACGTTGAAAAAGTTTCGCGTGACCGGCAAATCGTCTTCATCAGCCGACGGTTTGGCCGAACAATGGCCGAACAATCGTTAAAAAGAAGAAGAGAGAGAGAGAGAGAAAGAAAGAAGCGATTCTTCGTCGAAGAATCGCGCGCTAGCGTGATCTCTCGTGATCATGGACAGATACAGTCCGCAGAAAAACTAACAAGAGCCTGTCATAACCGGCTTTCATCGATATCCTCTCGATACCTGTCCATCGCGAGAGATCCATCCCTTCCCTTTCGTGACGAGCGTGAAATTTTCAAATTTCGCCGTGCAAAACTGCGCTTTGCCCCGGAACAATGTTCACGAGCTCGGCGTCGAGAAATCGCGTGACGAGAAAATCTGTTGAATCGTGTCGCCGATCTTCACTCGTTCAACCAACCGTTGGCCACGCATTCTCTCTCGTAATTGTCGATCGCGTGACGCTCGATCCGACAACCGTGCCGATCATTCTCGAATTGATCGGCAGAAATATCGGTTTAACCCTTTAACTCGACCAATTATTTTGCTCTTCTCCTTTTTTCTTCTTTTTTTTTTATTACTATCATCCGTGATCATTATCCTCGTTGCAGATTTCTTCGAATTATCGAGATAGCTATTTCACCAATAACCGAGTGAAGTGAGTAACCGATTTACAAAAGAAAAGGAGAAGATCGAGGATGTTTCTTTGTTCGAAAGACGCTTCCGGTGGGAGAAGGATCGCTTTGGGGACGCGCTAATCTCGACGCAAAATCGTGAAACCGCGAATTCGTGTTGGAAGCACGCGCTTTCGTCCCGGTTCCGCTTCTCCATATGTTGCAAAACGCATTATGCGCTGCACGCGCGTGTGCAGCAGCAGGCGCGTTTCGTGATCTCGGTGGTCGGCCAGCTGCCGACCGACCGATGGCGGTTCTTCTTCTTCTTCTTCTTCTCCGCTCCGGGCGTCATCGGTGATTTCCTCTCGACTTGGACGATTCAAAAGGAGGGGAGGCGAGGAGGAACACACCGGACATCCGAGACACATGACGGAGGAAGGAACCGCAACAACGATTATTCCCCCGCAACTGTTTTCTCTCGTGGATCACGCGAGAATACCGCGTGTGCGCATGCACTGCGCTCGAAAAGTTGTTTTCGAAGAACGATTTCATTTCCCCAATATTTATCTCTGCAACGAGTGGATTTCCATCTTCGATTCTCTCTTCCTATTCTCTTTCGGGAAATGCGGGATCGAAATCGAAAGATTATGAATTATTTGACTCGCGGATTAAAGCTAGATTTCGTGATTGTTGCACCCTTTGTTAACTAATCAATTCCTCCGAAAAGAAAAGGAAAAAAGAAAGAAGCGATCCAATTATACCGCGTTGAAGGATGATTGGAATTGAAATTTCGCCAAAGGGTCCGCGGCCTTCACGGGGGAAATTTTCGAGGTATTTCCAGGGTTCCCAGGTGGCCGAGGAGGAGAGGCAACGTTGAATCTCATAGGTCGACTCGTCGATGATCCTTTTGAAGGGGAATCCCCGTGTCGCGCGTCCGGCAACGCGCCGCAACCATCCCTTCCTCCTCTCGTCTTGGACAGACCGAGAGAGAATAAAATATACATGAATCTCTTTTTCCGAAATATTCAAATTCTCCATTCCTCAGATCGAATAACGGTGGAGAGAGAGAGAGAGAGAGAGAGAGAGAGAGAGAGAGAGAGAGAGAGTAGTAGT